GGCGGGGGCGGGGCTGGGGGCACGCAACAAACGGCTCGCGCGGCGCGGGGCAGGCCGTGAGTCCAGTCCAACCCCCTCCCCGCCCCCGCACGCCACGGGCCGGAGAGCCAACAGGGGGTTGCCCGCCGGCGCTTAGCACTGGGGATGCCCAAGCTGTCGGGTAGTTGCACGGGGGGTTGCCCGGGGGGTTCGCCTCTTGCCGCTCAACCGGCCAATTGGGGACATCGGGTCGATATCGTATTCCAGGGCGTTCCCCTGCCCATACCGACGGCGTGTTTGGTGTTTTGCCCAGCTGGCCGGGGAAACAATTCGGAAGGCATTACTCTCTCGCCTCGCGCCCGCCCCGCCCCCTCACGCCCTCTGCAGCCCGACACAAGTCACTGCTTCTGACCACGAGCCGGAAATAGTGCCCCCTTACACGTGTCGTCGCCCGGGACTGTCAACTGCGACCTCCGCCGCGGCCTTGAGGGGGGGCGGTCGTCTCGAAGGACAAACTCCCCCCCCCCTCCACCCCCACTGGGGCTGTCACGATAACAGTTAGGTGTTTAATCATTATATTAATTCAAAGATGCCAATAAAGAAGTTCTGCTAGCTCAAAGGATGGCGGGTCGCGAAGGCCGAGCGGCGGGGAGGTATGGTGAAGTACGAGTGCCAAGTCGTGTGGCGAATACACAGTTGCCGCACACACAACGATGTTGTATAGAAACGGGAGCAGGAAGGACTTTGAGCGACAGCCCGAGCCGAGTTTCGAGCGGTTCTTATCGGATCACTCATTGTGATCGGCCGTGCCCCAGTCCCAGCCCGCGGGGGATGGTCCCGCCCCCCGCCCCGCCCCGAACTGTCCGGTCCCGAACTGTCCGGCCGGGTGCCGGTCGATGGGCGGGCGGGCGGCTGGTGGGACAATTAGCCACTATACCTTGCTTGCGTGAGTGAGTGGGTGTGCGGGGGCTGATGTGCGCGCGCTCGCCCACCCCCCCATCCCCCCTGGGGCTGTCAAAGGCACGCGCGTGGGCATGCTGAGGAGCCATTAGGAGCGGCTCTGATAGGGCTGCTTTCAGATCGATTACAACATAAAGCGGGTCGGGAACGGTTTAAAAAAAATTGCGCCAAGAGTAGTGTAGTAGTAGTAAGCGTTCAGCTTGACGCCTCGGGCGGTGCAGCCCGGCGCCCCGCGCCCTCTAACCCCGGCGCCACACCGTCGTGGAGCCGCCTCCGAGGGTCCGAGTGTGTGGCTGATCGCCAACATCGATCCCGGGCCGGGTCGAAAAATGCGTCGCGCAATGTCTCTCTGTAGCTGCGGGAGCACACCACCACACACACCACGTCGTCGTCGTCGTCGTCGTCACGTCACGAAAGAATTATAGGCTGGCGGTCATTTCTTTCACAGGTCGGGAGAACACACACGTTAATAAAAAGAAAAAGATCTCGCTTCTCATTGGAATTGGATGCGGTCCGACTCTGCGTATAATCCGCGCTGAAAAGCAGATCGAATTGGGAGTGGGCATCGCAAGCAAGCCCCCCGGTAGCGTGCCGCGCGGGGCGTGGCGTGGCTGTCAGTCGGGGAAGCGGCGCGCCGCGGCCCGACGGGCTGGCGGGCTTCTTTTTTTTCGCGTACATCTGATTGGCCCAACGAATACACAAAGGCGATCGACCGCGGGGGTGACCCATCACGTTACCTCTTTCGCCTCCCTCTTCTTCGTTTTTATTCACCCCCTTCCTTCCCCCCCAGCCTCGCGTACTACCCATACATGAAGAGAGACGTCGGCAAGTATCCGGACCTGGGGACGACGAGCACCTCCGTGAAGGCACGCGCGCTGAGTCAAGGGCGAAACCCACCAGCCCAATAGGGACGCGGCGTCGTGACGCGGCTGGGTGGAAAGGTCACTTCGAAGAGCTTTTGAATCTTCCATCACCTCCGCCCGCCACGCACCCAACAAACCCGAGCAAACCCGACGGCCTCGTGACGGCCGCGTGACTATTAGTGTACCATTCTTGAAGACAAAAGTGTGGACTCTAGTAGTTGTCAGTGCGGTGCTCGGGGTGAACCGCAAGCAGCCGGCGTGTGATGCCAGCAAAGCGAGAGGTCGAGCGGGTCGACCTGCAAAAGGGTTGGATAGGTCGGATGAGTAACCGATTATTTCATGGTTTGGTATTGTTCTGTGCTGCGGGGAGCTGAGGGTCGTCCGCTGGTCGCTCTCCTCCGGCTCACACGCGCCTGACAGGCGACAGGCGCCGCCTGTGGTGTGTCTCGCTGCCCCTGTGGGTGCCCTCGTGGCCGCCAGCCCAGCGGCCAGTGGCCAGGGTCCCGCCGCTGGGCCGCCGCCACCGCGCAGCCGCACTCTCCTCCTCCCACATCGGGCTGGGCTGGCCGGGCTCCGCGGCCAAATTGGGACATCACTGTAGCCGCGCGCGCTGCGGGAGAGCAGCGGGAGCACGGTCGTAGCGCTAGCGACCTGACCGGACCAGGGCGCCGACGACGACACGGTTCAGGACACGCGGCCCGGCGCCCGGCCCCTCGGCCCGTCGCACACGCCGCCCAAGAAGCCACGTTCGCAACTCTCTTTTTATTGCCCCTCATTGGGAGGGGCGTGGATGTGGATTCAATTCACGGCCAGCGAATAATGTTTTGCTCAATATCGTGCCGCCAACGCGTAAAGCGAGACTCGCGCGCGGGTCGTGCAGGCCGGGGAGGGGAGAAGGGGGAGGGGAGTAAGGAAGGAGAGGGACGTCGAGAAGGTGCTACAGCGAGAATAACGCCGGACGCCACCGACCCGACCGTCGTCTCTCCGCCGATATGGAACGGAAACGAGCTTGGAAAAACAACAAACTCTTAACACTATCATGGCGCGGAGGTGGACGTCAGACTGCCATAGGGGATGCCACTGCCAGTGCCCCCCGCCCGGGCCACACGGCCTCCCACCATAACCTCCTCAGAAGGGTGCAAGGTTGATGCGGGGACGTCAGCGGTCCGTGACGTCCACACAGGCCGCAGGTTCGTCCGGACACTCACCTCTGCCCCACGCCTCGCAAGCGCGCGTGGGGCAGAGGGCCCGGCCAGGGGCCAGGGATATATAGATCGCTATTCGTTCGGACATCTCTTCGGAGCCGGCGGGAGCCATGATCGATGGTTCACGACAGGGCTGTCTGCCGGCGGGGATGCCACAGCGACTGCGGTAAGGGGAGAGGTGATAGGTGGGGGCGGCTGAGGACAGAGAAAACCCTCCAACGCCCCTCCTCACCCCGCCCGGTTGAGCGAGTGGAAGCTGTTCCCTCTCCAGCGGCTCGAGAGCGAACATCCGCGTGCGTCTATGATGCGAGTGTGTCTGTGTCTGTGTGTTGACGGAGGTGAGGTGGCGACCCGTGGTCTCGGTGTGCCCCCGAGGCCCACTTCTAACTTTTCCTGTGAGGCGCTACTGCGCCGCTATGGTCGCGACGAGACTTGAAACGCGCCGCCGCCCGCGCCTCGCGCCTGTACTCCCGCCGCCGCCCGCCCCCGCACTTCAAACAGCTCCCTGCGCCGCGTTGTGTGCTCGCAAAGATCCTTTCGGCTTGTCTTGTACTTCGCGACTCCCGGTGAGCGAGCGTGCGCGTCGCACAATGTCGTGTTTGCGCGGCCCCCTGGCCGGCGCCGCCGCGGCCTCGCCCCCGATACGACCGCGAGGTGTCCGCCGAAGTGGCGCCCCCCGGTCAGGCAGAGTCGTGCCAGCCGCGCCAGAGCCGAGCCCGAGCAGCGCCGCGCAGAGAGTTTCCTCCCTTTTGGAACGGCGCCGCCTCAACAGCGACCAGGCACGGCAGCCCAAGGCCGGGCGCGGCCACGCCGAGGGAGACGGACACGGAGCACGGAGAGCCACGCAGCCACTCGGACAAAGTTTAGGGAGTGAGTGGTAGGGAGTTTCAAGAGAAACGGCGGAGAAAGAGAATGGGCTTAATTATTGAATCCGAATTCCGTTTCGTACAACCTCTATAATTTTTAAAAAGGGGAGCTTCTTGAGCGTCTACGAAAGTAAGTTTGCACGCATTTGGCGTGAACGCCTGGCAGTTAGGCAATGCAGCGCCGTGGTGCACGCCTACGCGGCGGGTGGCCTACCGTCGGATCTGCAGGGGTTCGGGCTGCAAACTAGTACAGACGCCTGGCAGTCAGGCATTGCAGCGACGTGGTGCACGCATACGCGGCGGGTGGCCCACCCTCTGACCTGCAGTAGATCCAGGATAGAGAACTTAAATTACTCTGTGACAAAAATCGAAGGATATAAATCCGTTTCAAAAATCCTACCCGCGTTCGATGCGACCGCAAAAAAGAATCGAACTGTGGATTGCAGGGACGATCGAATAGTTTACGTTAGTAATTCATTCACCAACTAGGCAGCAACCGGAGGATAGAACGGGACAGAACGCTTGTGTTACCACCCGAGGAGTTCAGGACGCGCATAACGACGAGCAGTTATGATGCTTCGGCTCTCACCACGCTTCCTAACAAGCCGAATTAAAGGAGGTAATACTTTTAACCGGATAGCCACGACACATAGAAAAATCCCACTATAATGGAATGGGTGAAGAACCCGAAGGTAATAAAAAT